AAACTGGGAAGCAAACACACCAAACAAATGTCGCTCTGTTCCGAAAAAAAGATAGAAATACCTTCTTGTGAAGCTTGTTGTGTAGGCTCAGTTGGTAGAGGCGCTTCAACGTGCTCTTGGGTCCTACATACAGGTAGGTCTTCTGGTTCCCTTGCGGTTCTCGGTTGCTCTTAAAGAGGTTTTAGACATTGGATGTGGACTTATCGGCGGTCCAGATACGGTACGCGGACCAATTACATATTCTAGTGTTTTTTGTTGTTTGTATCCTTGCATTTATGGAGGGGCTCATAGTGTGTCCCAAAGGTACAGGTTTACAATTTTTCTTAACAGTACTTCAAGAACAAATGAACGATTTCCATCCAAAATTTTACCAGAAATACCTTAGGGGAGACATGCTATGAATACAGGATGGGGCAAAATTACTGGTGCACCCAAATTTCAATGGCATTTTGACAACGACCTTCACAAATCAATTCTAACTTTATCAATATCCAATATATTACTACAAACATGACAATACAAAAAATGTTAATGCTTCTCAAAATGATCTCCTTTAGCCTTCACACAGTCCTTCAGACGTTCGACAAATGCTTCGCATGTGGCACGCAGGTACTGGTCATCGATTTCGTCCCAAGATTTTGAAAGCGCCGCCTTAAGAGAGTCCAAGTTTGGATGTCTGGTAGAACACGCTTTGCTCTCCAAGATGGACCACACAGAGTAATCCATCGGGTTTAGATCAGGAGAACTGGAGGGCCATTCGTCGTGTCTGATGAAGTCGGGCAGGTGCTCGGCGCACCACTCCTGGACCATCTTTGCTTTGTGTGCTGGAGCAGAATCCTGCTGGAAGCACCAGTAGGCTTCTCCGAAATGGGAGTTGGCCCACGGCTTGAGAACTTCCTCCAGGATATTTTTGTAAACCTCTGCGTTGATTTTTACACCAGCTTCAACGAAAACAAGTGGGGTCTTCCCCGTAGAGGTGACTCCTCCCCAAACAAGAATGGACTGGGGGTGTTTCGCTCTTTCCTGGAGTCTTGCCTTGGTGGTAGCATCAGCAAGTGAACCTCTCATTTTGGGAGTTGAAGGCTGGATTCAGAGTAAAAATCTTTTCATCACTGAAAACGATGTCTCGGGCGCGTGCCACCGTGAATCGCTGCAGCAACTTCTTGCATCTCTCCAATCTCCTTTTCTTCATAATGTCCGTCAGGAGTTGGCATTTCTGCAAGCGATAGGGGAACTTCCTTAGCTTACTTCTGACAATCCTCCTCATTGACCTCGCGCTTACTCCAACGTCTTTCGCCATCTGGCGCATCGATCTCCTGGCGTTCCTTCGAATTCTTTCTCTGACGAGCCTCACATTTCTCCGACTCGTAGCTGTTGTGGGACGTCCTCTTCCTTCCCTGTCCTCTTCGGTCTTCAGTTCTTTATAGCGTCGTACTGTATTCTGAACCGTCCTTCGAGGTACGGAAAGGATCTTCACAATTTCTCTTATTTGCTTGCTGTCATTATGAGATTCGTTCGACGATCAAGCTCCGTGGTCCAAAATCAACGAAGTGCATTTTCGTGCCTGAGTCAGCGTATGAGTTGCGGCGAATGTTTCGCACACACTGTCACACAAACGAGTTGAAGGAAAAATCCCTAAGGTACAATAACAAAGTCCAAAACGTATCGGTGCACCAACAATTTTGCCCCACCCTGCGATACCATTTTAGTAGCGCACGCTACCGCGACAGACACGGGAATGTTCCCCATTGTTCAAAAAAAAACCGGACAGTCAAGTGGACCAATAAATTTCGCTAAACGAAGAAAACGTGATCATTTACTAAGCACTAATCAGTTTAACTTGTCGTATTGGTGTAGCGAGAAGGCCCAAAACAACAGCCGCTAGTTTTCATCAATGCCCTCATAAGTCACCGATTTCAGGGTGATGTTCATGTCTCTGCCACCAATTTTCAAACAGTGTGAACGGTGCATCGCAAATGGGGGAATCATTATGAAATTGGGGGTACTCACATTCAGACCTCCCTTATCAGCCGTTATTAGTTGCTGGCAGCCAACATGTGTGTTCTCGTCTGATCTCCCCAAACCCATATGAAAGGAACTAGTGTTTGATGTTACCGCGGAGGGCTGAGGAGGGGCGTGTTGAATGGCTTTTTTGTTTTTCAGAGAATTCAAACCCAAAGAAATGCCAAGGAGATAAATTGAGAACAATAATGCCAGCTTTTCAAGATCATATTTCCATTACCCAATCCCGTCTGAAGGCCTTCCTGATGAAAAAAAACGGGGGGAGTTGGAGTGTGTCGACTGATTTTAGCACAAAGTACTACAGAAACAGCCATGATTAGTGATTGTTTTACAGGGTGAGAAGGTGTCTTTAGCAGGTGGGGAAGGAGGACAAGGATCTAATTTCAGACCGAACCGATGGGCTATCGCAACCCTGACTTTACATGTGTGCTCGCCGCGACCGCATACTTTTGCCACTCAGCTCGGATGCCGCCCCACTTCATAGGTTCGCGGTTTGTACAACTTAGCGACTATGCTGACAGGAAAACATACGTACCGATTTGAAAATTTCCGATTACGCGATAAAGCGGTTTAACGAATTTGGCGGTTATGCTCAAGAGGATCAGGGTGCACATTAATCGAACTGACGCCGCCCAACAATCATCGTCGATGCGAAATGTCGACGATCCTTCAGTCGTACGCATACATTCCTTTTAACATAAATCGCCAAGTCGCGCATTGTCAAATCGCATTGGTCGCGATCTATGGGGCCATGAGATTATTCAAAGCAAACACCGAATGAGCCAGTTTACACTTTCTTCCTCTCCCTCGTTAAGAAATTGTGTCTGGGATCGCATTGAGGGCTTGTAATGTTCCAGCTTAATACAGCCTGGAGCTGCAGACAAATACATTGTTGAAGAAAAGTGCCAGAAACTCTAAAGTGAGAATAGTGTTGCATGGGTAAAAATAAACTGGCTCGTTTTGAAAACATCACGTAACATCCCACTCGTTTCTAAGTCCCTACCCTCGTTTTTCCTAAACCACTCTTTTTATTACTCCTTCGATGTTATTGGTTCAGTACTATTTATTTTATTTCTTTCATTTTATTTGCTTTTACACCTGCTTTTCGTTAATTGGTAAATTAGGTGCGTGGGTCTAGTTCGGATTGGGGTAGCGTGGATTCCAGCGGAGCAGGCTGCTCTGCTTTTAGTGGTGCCCACTGCTGCGCAAGTGGGACCAGGGTGAATATCGGTCGAGGAAATCCTCGACAGGGGGGTCGTACCTGTCGGGCTGGGTCCATGGGGGGTCGTACTCTTGGGGTCAGTAACAGCAGTGGTATCGTGGTGCAGATAGGTAATAGGGTATAGCGCAGCAGAAAATGAAAACATCCGAAAAAAACATGATATTAAATTTTCTTTGCAGGTTCAGTCGCTCCATTCCTCCACCTTCATGAGAAGGGCGTATTTGAAGGCAGTACAAAGAATGAAAGTGCATCCCCGCAAAGAAGAGTGCCACATGTGCGCACGCGCTGCAAAGGCACCTCCTCTGCCTATCGCTCGCTCCTTCTCCCTTAATACCTCGCTGAGAATGACGCTGGTTATATAGCGACCTGTCGCAAAAACACCCACCGTGGAAGGAAAAGCTAAATGGTCTTCTCTTCAGGTTGTAGAGTTACGAAATGCGTTTACTACAATGCAGCCTTCTGTCAACTGGTCATGATCATATGACACCTTCGAATCGATTCTGCAACTTCGAGTGAGGTCGGATGCATGGCCTATACTCAGACAAAATTCGATGATGACGATTGCCCCTTTTCCTATTGCTTATGTTGGGAGGATGTTTTCTAGACCCATTTCAAGCGTTGCCAACAATTACACTTGCAATGGTGAAGGGGAGCGGATTTTCAGGTGGCCGGATCCGTCCTCGATACATACTCGACGCAGATATCTTCTCAACTAGGAAATGTAGAAGAAAGCTAAGAAGACCATCAGAAAGCGCAAACCTTCCGCTTTCCAAAACTATCTTCCCTTTTTCAGGATCTTACAACATAAGAGAGATATTGCTCTTGAAGTGGCAAAAACTCGCGTGAAAATTTCAGCGTCCTCGACGTTTACTCGACGAAATTTGAGAGACCCTATCTTTCTGCATGGAAGGCTTTCAGAGCAATTTCAATACTTCTTGGAAACGCGAAATCCAGCTCTATCTAACCCTACCTCAAACTGCTTCAAAGGTTATGAAATGGAGGAATGCAACCTTTTCATCGAGGGTGTAGATTTCGACGGTTTTTCGGGATTTCAGCAAATCTGACCCAGTGACAATCGCGCCGCAGCTGCCGTTGAATCGGCCGTTGATTGATACACTCGGCTGTTTCGATATACTCAAGCAGGAATCAGAGATTAAATCGCAACCCCGTGCCTTCAGGATTTCTGTGCATTTCTGAACGAACCTGACTTTGAGGTCACACAAAGTTAATGCCTCTTTCCTCGAGTCGATATTTCAGTAAATACACAAAAGTGTGCAGCGATGAAAGACAGTGCATAGATGACAAGATGAGGCGTCCATAACATTATTTTGCAGAGATTTTTTTGATTTGTTTTGCAGGATTTTTTATTAATTAAATTAATTTGCTCTGTTTTAGGGGGGTCGTGCCAGGATCTCGATTTCGGGGGGGGGGGGTCGTACCTCTGCGACCACGTACTCGACACGATTTTCACCCTGGTCCGGACTCAGACAAACTTCCTGCCGCTAAACATTGAATGATTCTGAAAAATCCTCAGAATATAATTAGGGGATGGTAACTGCAGAAAACCATTTAGCGCCAAGCGAGAAATCCAGTTATGATCTGCGGAACACGTGCTTGCTGTGAGCCCTTTCACTTCACATTCTTTTTTTTTTTTCCCGAGAAAAAGGCTCGAGTTTCTACACATGCGTGGCTTTTTCTCCAGTGTGTATTCAATCGGGAGCAAATCGAAAAACAGCGGTGGACGGCAATGTGGCCCAGAAGATTTCAAAAATTTCATGTACTAAGGTGTGGTCTAAGTGACTGAGGAGTATTGCGATTGCGACAAAGATTCGGTCCGCTTTTTACGGCTTTTTTACCTACTTACTTCACCTTGTCCTACTTACCCCTGGCTCTGCGAGACAAAAATTGGAATTCTCGTACTGCCGCGAAAAATTCAGTGCTCGTAACTCGAGTCTACTTTTACCGAGGATCAGTTCACCAGTTCAAGGAGGCGAAACTGACGAATTGGTCATCCACACCCACAAAAAACTCTCCCCAAGATGTATGAGGTCCCCAAGGAGCGCACAGTATGACTATGTTTACATTATCCTGGCTGTTTTGACACGACTCATGGTGTAAAGTATGTCCTAATAGAACTTTGCTGGGCTTAGCAGACCCGTGTTGTAAGCTGCATTTGTCACCTACCGTGCCGTTATCCACCTTAGCAGATTCGCAATGTATACTTCGCTTAGAATAGAATAAAATGGAAGGAACTTCCAGTTTGCCCGATAGGCGTGAGAAGAGAAACGTGCAACAGAATAGTGAAGAATAATTTGAAGGAATCTCAGCTTATATCGATTGAACCACTAGGAGAGGAAGGGACCCAACACAGACGTCGAGATGAGTGCAAAGTATGCGGTCGCGGCAGCACGCATGTCACGTCAGGGTTACGGTAGCCCTTCGGTTGGGTGCTGAAGTTAGATTCTTGTGGAAGGAGGAGGAGGGTGTCGTATGGGGAAATTCCTTTAAGGTTGATTTGACTGAGTTAACTGGGCTGGCCCAGTTAACTCAGTCAATTTATAGATAACAAAATTATTGTCTTACCTTCTTCTGGTGCTACCTGCGGCTGTGATTCACTTTCAGGCTTCGGTTGAACTTGCTGCTGGGACTCACTATCAGGCTTGGGTTGATCTTGCTGCTGGGCTTCACTATCAGGCTTCGGTTGAACTTGCTGCTGGGACTCACTATCAGGCTTGGGTTGATCTTGCTGCTGGGAATCGCCTCGCTGCTCTGGTAGCTGCAGTCGATCGGATGGCTGTCTGTAACATTGAAAACATTGAAGGCATAGGCTGCACGTTCACCATTTTGAAGGCATGGCTGCCACATCCACCATTTCCTGAATTTCAGTGTGCAAGAAAACATCTGAAGGTCTCACTTGTCAACCCCATCACTCTTCTGAGTAGCTTCTTCCTTTATTGGCTGAAACGCGTGATTATTCCGTATTTAATTGAGAAGAAGTCATTCTATTCAAGGAAATCAATCTGTGATAATGAAATACTAACCACAAGAGCATTGGTCCAAACCAGGGAGCCGTCAGGAAACGTGCTCTGGTAATCATAGCTTCGTTTTTCTTCAACATAAAATGTATCAGCACCTTCCCAGAGAGCGCCTTTATTCGTGTCAATAATTGTGTCGCGATCAATGGTGAGGCTACAATGGCTTTAGTTTCACTGGAATCAGTATTTTTTAAACGTGGATATAGTTTGGAAAATGTTAAAATCTAACGAATCATTGAGACGAAAAGAACGTGGAATCACACAGCGAAGCGCCGCAGTCGCCGTAATGGCGTGGAAACCAGGGTCATCGTCAGTCTAGCTGAGCAAGATAAGGGATAAGTGCGATTGTGAAAGAGGTGCTGTTTCGGATGATTCTCAGATATTATTTGCCAACTTAATAGATTTGTTGAGCCGTGTGCTGCTAGTAGTTCGTGTGTGCTGCTCACAGACCCAGCTGTAGAGGAATCCCCATTTGCAAACTTTTGGTTAGCCTTCTGTACACTCACTTATGCCTTACACTTCCTCTCCTTTAACACATTGACGACCGCGCGCGTTTTGGCTTTTTTGGCCGTGTGGACCGGGCCGATTTTGCGAGTGCGACCGCCGCACCTCGGATCCGTGAATTTTTATTGATAACTTTTTAAAGCACCAGTGGTACAAAAACATCTCAGTAACAGTCAATGCGTAGAAGGTAATAGAGTATATAGTGACGAAGTTCCGATTAAAGAACATGTAATGGTAATGAAAAAGGAAACTTTAGTCATTTTATCTGTAGTGGATGCCAAAAGCTCTTTTGATGTGGTTATACCAAGTGAAACATGTATTTTTCTGTCTCTTTAGATTTGCATTTACTTTCACTACCCTTTTTTATTGACGTGTTCATGAGAATAGCATGAAAACTATTAATGAACCAAGCCGCCGGTTTCGGTGAGCTTGGAAAACTTCTTCTAAACTGGAGCATATTTGAACAAACAATGACCTATGTCGTTCACAATAATGTTATGTTCTAATCCATAGAAGAGAGACAAACAATTCGGGAAAAAGCTGCGCATGCCCTAGAAAAAGGGATGATAAGGGTGAGACGCGGTAACGCGTCTCAATGTCCAACGAGGTGCGCAAAGTGAGACGCGTTACCGCGTCTCAATGTCGTCAATGTGTTAAGGTATCCTCGATACATTCGCACCCACCACCACGTCAAACTCTACACCTCCTTAGTGACCCGACGGCGCACTCGAAGGATCGAATTTTTGTTTCATCACCAGCGTGCACCTCTATATCACGCCGTCAACGAGGGGCAAAGCGGGCGCTTCAACTTCATGTCTACCCCCCCCGTCTCCAGCGTAATCATCTACCACTGCATCCCCATTCAACTAACACATTTATTATTCAAATGCTATCACCGGAGTTTTAGCGGGGCTCACCGCCATCTGTGCGGCCCATTCTTCTCTGACCCTCTGGGATCTGCTTCAGGCTACATCTTCCGGTCTTCACGCCTTCTGTTCCACGGTATCGCAGTGGAGCGATCGGCTTCTTCCACCGTCTTTGTTGAAAAAGCGCTCCGGCATTGGATGCCCTTTAAACGCGGCACAGGCCAGCACGACATCTCGCGTGGCCCAACACTTGTGCCTCCCTGCCGCCGTCGTTGCAGTCCTGGCTGGGCCCACACCACCGGCACTACCGCCGGTGCCGGAAGTGGCCCCGTCGCCGCTCCGCTTGTCCCTACCGAGACTACAGAAATTGGTTGGGTAGTGCTCGGATCGTGAGGCCCCAATGGACCGCACCTCACCACCCCCCCCCCGCGGTGATGGCACGGCTGCATGCTCGCTGGCTTATAGAATATAACTTGTGGTGCCATACTTCCTTTGAGTCTCTATTGACGAGGAAATTGCAGCATATCACAGGTTTTTGTTTTCGGCCCCTCTTCTTCTGTATCATTCCACGGATCTCTTTCACTGAGGGTCCTCTCTCACTGAAAGATCTCGAGCCGGTTGGTGGCGAGGCTACGTGGCGCGACCCCAGGTGGCGGATAGGGGGTAAATCGCGGACCAAAAGCCACCATGTACTTGCCCTGAGACGCAGGTGGATTCAGGGGATGGACTCCCTGTTTCTGTAGTGCTGTGTCGATTCATACCAGCTGTCTCCACTCAGGCGCATCCATGCATGCTTGCGTGTGTGGTGCGCTCTGTGTGTGTGCGGTTGGTATCCTGCATGTCGGCACAGCCAAAAGCTTGCATTCAAGTGACTGGGAAGTACATGGGAGGCGATTCGGGGCCGCCTCCAAAAAAATAAGCCCCTTGTTCCGCTCCAGGATAGCGTGGCTAACTACCTGGAGGTCTATCCTAGCCCACACGACAGAGCCTGGCAAGCTACTCGTGTGCCTTCAATATGCCGAAAACAGCAATATGGATGGGCCTCATTCCCCTGAACCTGAGGGAGCCCCCAATACGGCAGCGTTGCGGTAAGGGATAAATTCCATTACGTCTCCCACACTATCAGATCTTGCTATCTTCTTATGTTTCCGCTGTGGCTAAGCTGAAGAGCATTATCGGCATAACTTCAACAGTGATGTTGTGAGAGGACGTTCTGAGCTCTCAGCAACACAGTATAAATGCTCGCGGATCAGAAATAAGCCGTGGTGTTGTGATGCCGTTATCTCTCTTTTCTGCGGGCGTCCACTTTGCGAGGGGGGCATCCCTATGCGATCTAGCGACTGTCTACTCTTTGCGATGCTCTCTCTTCTTCTCTTGCGATGCGACTTTTAACTTTTTTACATATATTTCACCTTTTTTGGACCTAGGAAGATTGGGGCGACTCGCTCATGGCATAAAAGGGTTTAGATTCTATTTTTGGTAGATTTTGCTCATTTTTCACAGTTTTTTTTTGTGGAACATTGATTTTTCAGGTCGTGCGTGCAATTTGAGATTTGAAATGTGATATTAAAGTTTAATTACCCAAGTTTGAGGTGTTGTACGTCAACAACAAATTACCGCGTGGCAGACAAAAAAGGACCAAGAAGGCCCTATTATTTTCATGAGTGCATCGGCGGCAGCGTTGGGTAGGACCGCTCGGGAGAGGCTGCTAGAATCTCAGGGCCCGGATAGGCTGCCTAAACGAAGAAGGACTAAGATGGCGATCTGTACTTTCAACGCACGAACGCTTGCATCCGAAGCTCACATCGAAGATGATGATGCAGGCCAGGAAGATCAAGTACGACGTCATCGGACTGACCGAGACGAGAAGGCACCGCCCGCTACACGCCGTTTTCGATACTGGAGAAGAACTGTTCCTTGGAACATGCGACAGCAGAGGCGTTGGCGGTGTGGGTGTCCTCGTCAACACGCACTTGGCCATAAACATCGATTCGTACGAAAGCCTTACGACCCGAATCGGACGTTTGAGATTGAGAAGATGTGGTTCAACTCCTGCTTTGACAATCTTCGTCGCCTACGCACCAACATCCAGCTACGACGAAGAAGAACACGAAGCATTCTATATGGAATTGGAGAAGTTCTACAGGGAAGATCATACCTTCTTCAAGGTCATCGTCGGCGACTTCAACGCTAAGATTGGCCCAAGAAGAACGGCTGAAGAACTTCACATCGGTACTCACGGAATGGAATGGAATGAGCAGGGTGAGAGACTGTCGAGAGTTTATCATGTCGACCAACACCATCCATGGTAACTCACAGTTCCAAAAGCCCCCTCACCTTCGTTGGACTTGGGAGTCACCTGATGGACAGTTCCATAACGAGATAGACCACATCATCTTCAATCGAAGGTTTTGCCTGACCGACGTCGCTGTTGTTCCAAAGTTCTACACGGGATCGGACCATCGTCTCCTCCGCGCAAGATTCCACTTCTCGATGCGTGTTGAGAGAGCAGCAAAGTTCAGGAAGCGAAGCCCCAGGACAGTCATCAACTGGGACCACTTCGCTTCCCTCGTCAGCTTATGGGAGGATTCCGTCATCGAAAACATCGACGAGGAGTACTATCGGCTCGTTGAACATCTTCACGATTGTGGCAAGAAGGCAGAGAGTTTGAAAGTCACCAAGGGACGTCTGTCTCCGGAAACTCTCGAACTGATACGCCAGCGTGGAGCCGCACGAGCTGCAGGCAATCACCGACTCACGTCCGAGCTTGCGAAGCTATGCAGAGAGGCGATAAAGGAAGATCTCAAGGAGCGAAGAGCAGCAGTATTAGCTGAAGCAGCAGAGGCTGGGAGGAGCATCCGCAATGCCCGCCGAAGCTTTGCCAGCTACAAGACCAAGATGACCTGCCTCCGACGTCCGGATGGAAACAGTTACTGCATCCCGAAGGGCAATGGAGAAAGTCATCCACGACTTCTACTCGGATCTCTTCGATAGCCATGTCCATCTGCCCACTTATCAACTGCAACAGGATGGATACGTCGTCCCCTCAGTTCTCTCTTCCGAAGTCCGACACGCCATCAAGTCGGTGAAGAATCGTACAGCACCCGGTCTCGACAGGGTCAAACCGGAACATCTGAAGAATGCGCCGCCAGTTATCATCAAAACTCTGGCTCGACTCTTCACGCGCTACCTGTCGGAATGCAAGGTACCCACTCCGTGGAAAACCAGCAGGACCGTGTTGCTGTACAAGAAGGGAGACTTGGACGACATTGGCAACTATCGCCCAATCTGCCTGCTGTCTGTAATCTACAAGCTATTCACTCGAGTCATCCTTAACAGGATCGGCAGAATACTAGATGAAGGACAGCCATGCGAGCAAGCAGGGTTCCGAAGAGGGTTCAGCACGATCGACCATATCCACACGGTTACGAGACTCATTGAAGTTTCACGGGAGTACAAGATGCCGCTTTGTCTCACGTTCATCGACTTGAAGAAGGCCTTCGACTCTGTGGAGACAGAAGCGGTCATCGAAGCCTTGGGCAACCAGGGCGTCCCTACTCAGTACATCAAGATTCTTCGTGAGCTCTACAGCAACTTTACGACCAGAATCTCACCATTCTACAAGGAGGTCATCATCGACGTCAAGAGAGGGGTTCGACAGGGCGACACCATCTCGCCCAAACTCTTCAGCGCCGCTCTCGAGAACGTCATGCGTCAACTGGAATGGGAAGACATGGGAGTGAAGGTCGACGGCCGGCAACTACACCACCTTCGTTTTGCTGACGACATCGTTCTTATAACGCCGAACATCGAGCAAGCGGAGCGAATGCTGGCTGATTTCGACTGCGTAGTATAATGGACGCGTATACGAAGTGACTGCGTGGTAAGGTCGGTCTACAGCTGAACCTAACGAAGACGATGTTTATGAGAAACGGATTGGTTCCTGATGCCCCATTCACGCTCAACGGAACGAACATCACCGAATGCTCCAGCTACGTGTACCTAGGTCGGGAAATCAATATGATGAACGATCTAGCTCCAGAGCTGAGCAGGAGGAAACGAGCGGCTTGGGGAGCGTATAAGAACATCGAGGGAGTAGTGAAGAAGACGAAGAACATCCGGCTCCGTGCCCACCTCTTCGATTCCGCTGTCCTTCCTGCCCTCCTGCCCTAACCTACGCCTCAGAGACTTGGACTCTGCGCAGGCAGGACGAGCATGCGGTCAGCGTTATCCAACGCGCGCTGTCAGGAAGGCTGAAGCTAGGAGACACTTATACACGCAACGTGCGATGGCAGAGGCAATCGAAGTGACAGATATAATGTTCGACAATGAGTCGGTGGTTGGTCGACGGTTGGCTGCTAGGGAGCGTTCGCGCTGACCTGAGGGTCAGTGAGAGTCGGACAGGTGCCAGACAGGCCATTATGGCGCCGAAGCTTGTAGAGAACGTCGACAAGATTTTCGCGACATGTGGTCTTGCATTATCGTGCCATAATTTTTCATTGGCCGAATTTACCCTTTGACGACGCGGAGCTCGGCCCACGTGGTGGAGCTGTTATACGCAGAGTTCAGCTGTAACTGTATAACCCACAATCAGCATTCCGTGGTACACCGTTGCTATACTATATCACCATATAAAAACATGACTTTGTTTCCGTGGATGTCTGGTTTCGAAGTCACCCTCAGCTGTCCATCAGCCGCCAACCACGGTCGTCTTCTCGCGTTGTTATTGGGAAACATCTCTTTGTAAAATGCGGTCAACACGAAGTCAAGAACCTTTTTCCTCTTGAAGTTATGGAGCGAAGTTCCAGTATTGGCAACCAGTACTGCTTGCTCGCGTCGCTCAGAACAGGCCGAACCCTTTGTGTAGGACTCCTTGTATATCGATGTGGTTCGGGGGAATACAGTGGTAGAATGTTTATTGTCTAGCTTGGATTCTGGGCGTGCCTCTCAGTCTCAAACGAGGCCGCGCCTGTGGTATCATTTGAGTGACATTTATGTGCTCAAGGAGTGGTGAGGTGTTGAGATGAGTGCGTAGGTGAGATTAGGTGGGAAGGTTC